CGCACACGCGTGTGTACACACACACACAAGCCTGAAAATGTTCCTGGTAAATGTGAGATGTAATTTGGAAAAGAGGCCAAGATTTTAAGTTACAGTCTACCTCATGGGCAGTGGGGTCTGCCTAGCAACAGTAGCAACTTTGGGGTGAAGAAGAAAACGACACAATAGTGAGCTGCTGGCTTCAGTGGGGTTGAATGGGGAGCCCGGAGTTCCCAGACTTTGGAAAAGTAATTTTCTGGTTTCCTATGCTGACTTGGTTGAATCTATGTAACTCTATCACCTAATCAGAATTTTGTCTGAATCCAGAATTTAGATCCATGGCCTTAAAATTGCACCATGTAAATGACATTCAGAATTAAAGACATAAAAATTTATTAGCATTGTGTCTATGCAGACCAGGCAACTATGAACTCAGAGATCCACCTGTCTCTGCTTCTCTAGTGCTAGCATTAAAGGTGTGTGCCACCACTGCCCAGCTAATTAGTTTTTAATGTGTGCTGAAGACTGGGGTTCCTGGATTCTTTAAGATCTTGGGGGTACACCTGAACAAGGCTTAGAAGACTATATTAAGAGGTCTTTCTAGCTTTGGCTGTGGAACAGCTGCTCACAGAAGGTTATGGTGGGGCAGTCCAGTGGATTTGCTCCAAGCTGAGGAGCTAAGCTTGAATCTCACTGGTCCCCTAGAATGCCTAAAGATGAACAGGGTTGCAAGTTCTTAATAGTCCACTGTGGCTATTGCTTGGTAACATGGGGGGTGGGGCAGACCACACAGACTGACTCAAAACCCCTCAGTCTCATTCATAGCCATTTGCCCACATTTCTGTCTATTTGTTACAGGTTGTGGGGAAGCTGCCGGGCATCTGTAAGACTCATCTTTGTAATCCATACAAAGGAGGAGAAGCCTGACTTTGTTACTCTCTTAGTCTCCCTGGAAATCAGCAGACAAAACAACAGTGGCCTAGCTCTGCCATTCTAGAGACTTCTATCCCTTCTATCCTCATGCTATTCCCATGGTAACCCTCTGGGAGGGAGAGAAGGGATAGTGTGCCACAGAGAAGCTATTTTTAGATTCCGGACCAGATGCTTTGACAAATCTGTTGAGGGATAGAAAAATGAATCAAATATAGACAATTTTTTTGATCAAAGAAATTCTCATTTAGAATTCATATTATAAAACTGGAAAATAAAAATAAGTAAAACTGGAAAATTTCTTCAAAACTCAGCCCAAATATTCCTACCCCAAACAGGCATACCTCTAAGTTATACCTAACACCCTATTGTAATATATAACCATAGTCCCCAACCCCAATCTAGCCCATGTACATTCATCTCTGCTCTCAGACTGAAGGTGTTGGCATTGAGATCGAATATAATTATTCAGAGTGTGGACTATATGATTCTGGGCAGACCCTTTGTTTAGACTGTGCCTCAGATATCAATGCAAACCTTAGCTGAGATGGGGCCACGGACCCAGACATGACCCTTGGCAGCAGTTCTCTTCAGACCATATAAATCTTTTGTCTTTATCTCCATTCCATGGCTTTGAATGTGAAGAGGAGCGGCTGACCCAGGAGCGCCTGCTTTGTTCCTAAGAGTCTAAATTTAAAATGTGGAGATGGTTTATTTCTGTGGTTGATTACCTTCATTTTCCCTTCATATTTTGTGTGTTTTCAATCGAAAACATTCCATACTGGAACTGCTTTTTCTCTGTTTAACTTTGAATACTGAGCTGCCGTTTAAACCCTTCTCTGCCATGTCTACAGCCTCTCTCAGACTTCTCAGCAAACCAGCTAGACATATGTCATAATTATCACATGTTACAGATAATAAAGCTCAGGCTTCCTAACTCATGGGCTTCCCAAGCACATACAGAGTCTGGGTCTGTACCTAACTGTATCTAATTGACAAGGTCCTGCTCTCTCTACTCTAGTAGTTTATACTAAAATAGAAATTACATCTTGATGTTTCCGAACAGCCCGTGTATTAAAAGCTTGATTCCAAGAGAGGAGATGCTGGGAAGCAGTAATATATTTAAAAGATAGAAGGCTTGAAGATGGACTTTTGATCGCTGAGGTGCGCCCTCTAGTGTTGTTATGGGTGGAACCACGGCCCCTTGCTCGCTTTTGCCTCATAAAGTAAACTGTCCAACTCCCCCACATATCCCACCATAGGCCCAAAGGAATTGAATCTGTCAGTCCAGGACTGAAACTTCTCAACCTGTGAACTAAAATAGACTTTTTCTCTTGCTTTCAGATACTTTGGTACATATAAGGTTCTTTAAAGCATTTTTTAGAATTAGATAAAACCATTTACAAATAAGATAATCTCCTAAATTCAGAATTTTATATACAAAACAATTATGCTTGACAACACTAGGGTCACATGCCTACAACCTGATGACTTCCTGAACCATTTAATCTTTTATATGTCATTCTCCCTGTCTTTTCTCACCATGTTTTTCTTCCTCATGCCTTTATAGTTGTGAAATCTCCTCCTCCTGTTCCTTCCATGATTCTGTTCTTTTTTGTAAGCTTAATTGTTATACTCTATTGGAGAGAAAAAGTCATCCCTATTATCTTTATTTTTTTTTAATCTTTGATCACTTGATATGGGTACACAATGAAGAATGATCATGCACCACTCCCAATGTGAGCCCTTCCCAATTCCAAGAGAGTCATTTGGTTTTGAGAATGTGGCCGCTGTAGGTTTCCCATATTCCAGAGGATGGTCCCACTGTCATGCACATGTGGGGAACACCATCTGGATTTAGTAGGTCATTCCTGTATCTTTATCAAAATTTGTCATCAGGGGAAAGTCCTCTCTTTCTTTGAGGGGAGGCCATCATATTAATATCCTTGTGAGTTGGGTTGATTTACTACTGTCTTTCCTTTTGTACACGGGAAGATCGATCTGACTTCTTCAGATCCAAAGTAGTGAAGCTCTGTGTGGCTGGTTTTAGCATTTAGTTGTCTGGAATAGTTTCTAATTTAATTTTTGACATCATAGGAATTTCCCAAGGTGTGTTGTTGTTTTAAATAATCTTAACCCTGTTGTGTTAGTTGGTTTTACATGTCAGTGTGATGAAATGCCTACAATAATCAGCTTAATAGGAGGGAACATTTATTCCAACTCATGCTGCAGGACTTTTATTCCATGGTTGGAATGTAAGGAAGACTAAAGTTCTCATTGGTTCACTCTGGCATTTCTTGGGCAGGGTTCCCAGGTGAGTGGCTTCAGGTGTCTGATTTATCAGAAAGCATAAAAAAGACTTAGAACAATTGTCACCTTGCCTTGGGGTATTGTTTGCCTCTACTGCTGTGTGTGCCAATACTCATTTTATTTTTAGTTCCCCAATTGGTCCCTCTGCCCCCTTGTGCTGGCTTCTAGAGACTTCCATTCTGTACCACCCAATCTGTATTCCCTGTGACAGGGCCTTTTCGTTGCATGTTGTAGTCCTGTCCCTCATCAACATCCACAGATGCTGTGCTGTTTCAGCTTCGGATCATCCTGTGGTTCAGATACTCTGGATCCTCTAAGAATTTCCACCTGGTTAAATGCTAACCTTTTTTGCTTTGTAGCAGCGTCTCATCAGACATTCTGCCTTCTCCCTCCTGGATTGAAGAGACAGATACAGATATTGAACAACTTCTCCGTAATAAAAATTCAGCTGCTCATTACTTTACCACTTGATATCCCTTGTGTGTTTTCCATCAATAGTAAACTTATTTGACATGATATTTAGAAGGGAAAAACAGTCCAAACACATCACTTAAATTATGTTGTTATTTTTTTGCTAAATTATTTTTTCTAGACAGGGTTTTTCTGTAACTTTGGAACTAGCTCTTGTAGACCAGGCTGGCTTTGAACAAAGATTTGTTTGCTCCTGCCTCCTGAGTGCTGAGATTAAAGGCATGCACCACCACCACCTGGCGCTAAATTCTATTTTTTTTTTTTTTGGTTTTTTCGAGACAGGGTTTCTCTGTAGCTTTGGAGCCTGTCCTGGAACTAGCTCTTGTAGACCAGGCTGGTCTCGAACTCACAGAGATCCGCCTGCCTCTGCCTCCCGAGTGCTGGGATTAAAGGCGCTGGCGCTAAATTCTAAATTGCAATAATATGCCTCAGGTTTTTCTAAATTTTATTTATTTATTTACTGTTTTTACTGTTTTATAAATTATTTTAAAGTTACCACACAAAGTAATTAGCTCTGTTGTGATCTTTCATTTACACACACGCACGCATGCACGTACACACATGCACGCACACACACACACTTCTTTTTAAACATTTCTTTTGTGTATATATGTACCTATATGGAGGTCAGAGGAAAACTTGTGGGAGGTAGTTCTCTCTACCATGTGGGCTCCTGAGATAGAGCTTAGGTCATGGGGCATGGTGGCAAGCCTGTTAGGCCATCTAACTAGCACCACTATATTTTATTCTTATTTATTCTGATGTTGGGTGAATGTCCTTTGCCTCCTTTACCACCTAAATACTCATTTATGCTTTTCTGTTCCATGTGTTCCATCTTCCTTCTTCACCTTCTATCATTTCTTTTGCCCTTTATATAATAAATAAACATGCACACATATGTAATCTAGATTCGGCATATGACAAAACCTTCTGGTTTCATCAACTCTTCTACTAAAGAACACATGACTCCTGCTGGGCTGCGGTGGAGCACAACTTTATCTTAGCTTTCAGGAGGTAGAGGCTCCTCTGTGAATGTGGTGTCAGCCTGGTCTACAGCTCGAGCTGCAGGACAGCCAGGGCTACATGAAGAAACCCTGTCTAAAAAAAAAAACCCTCCAAAAATAAACAAACAAACAACAACAGCAACGAACATGACTCTTGAATTTACAAAGTGCCCACTCAACTTCTGTGAGTGTCTTTTATTAATATATAGGATATTTACTCAAAGCTGTTCGTTGGAGCTGTGCACAGATAGTAAAATCTAAGCAAGTCAAAGCAAATAGATTGACACTGTTCTGCTTCCCTTCCAGCAACCATCAGCTGACCTGGAATTTGACCGGGTGGTGATTTACACAACCTGCCTTCGCGTGGTGAGAACAACCTTTGAGAGATGTGAACTGGTTAGAAAGATCTTCCAAAACCATAGAGTAAAATTCGAAGAGAAAAACATAGCTCTGAATGGCGACTACGGGAAGGAGTTGGACGAACGATGCAGGCGTGTCTCCGAAGCGCCTTCCCTCCCTGTCGTGTTCATTGACGGCCATTATCTCGGGGTAAGTATTCTGCAGAAGGAAACTGCCTTTGTCATATGTATCTAGAAACTGTATGAGATGATGACTTGTGACACGACCACCCAGACTTTTGCTATTTGGAGGAGCTCAGACCAAAAGGCTGGGAGTTTTATTTCTATTCCAAACAATGCCCTGCTATGTTGCCCATTCCCAGGGAAGCATGGTGAGATAAAATCAGTGTGAAATTGCTTTGTTGAATACCAATCCATTCCTGACATGCTCAGTTAACTTTGACTTTTAAAAGCTGACCCAAGATGAAACTACATTTTTAGTGTAAGCAAGAAAAATAGAATATTTATAAGAGGAACATTTGCAAATTTCCTTAATTCTCTGTAATCAAATATTCAGTTTCTTACCTAATGATACAAAAATGGCAGCTTTCTAATGGGGTCCGGAGCCAGAGTTTTATCTGCTTATTGTTTAATATCACTTTTTGAGTTTGGTAACGTGGCAGTGTGACACAGATGAGGCTTGCAGAAAGAACCCAACTTCCAGGAGAGCTACAAATATGCCTCCCTCCTTCTTGTTCTTTGATAACACTGCTAGTGTTGTTGACTCCCTTAGATCTATGCACACACTTGGGGAAAACACCCCAGGAGAGGCTTTTCTGAGGATGAGCCTAGGGGGCATATCAACAGCCGAGTGGTGCTGCCAACCAAATGATCCCTCATCAGAGATCAAAAACTTTCAAACCTTAGAAGGGTACTTGGATCTTGGTCACCCTCAGCAGCTGATCTTAACGTTTAACTTGGAGGGATAGAGGAAAATCCAGATTGGGAGGGATTCCTGCTTGATTTCCAGGACCTTGTGTTTCTTACCCTAACTACAGCCCTTGTTGTTAGAGACAGCCTGTTATCTAAGGGAAAGATAAATGTGATGAACCCAGGAATACTTAGCTTTTGGTGTTTAAAATGTTATTTTAAACAGAACTGGAAAAGTACTACCTTTTGAAATAAAGGAATTTTGACTTGAATATTGATCATCTATCCACTGTATGTATACATTCTTAGGTCCCACAAAATAGTGGCTTTGGCAGTAGTGTTAAAAACAAGGACAGTGATGGCGATATCGTCTATTGCCTTCTCAGCCTTATGCTTGGCATATGTCTGACCCTCAGGATGCTCAACTCTCAGCCCTTCCCATGGCTATTGGAGAAGAAGCAAATCATGGACTCCAGGCAGCATTGTTTTAAATCCTTGCTCTGATACTCATCATGTGACACACTGGGATGACAATAAGGCTGACCTCATAGGCTGATTGCAAGAATTTATAGAGAGGAACAATGCGGATTTACAAAAATTACTAAGAACTTCCTCTTTCCCAAAGTAGTAAAAGCCTTTGCTTCAAGTAACATAGCTAACCAGAGGGAATGGATGGGATGTCTGACTTCCTAACCCTTGCTTTGTGAAAGACCCTTATACGGAAAGGGACTTTACTATGTAGAGCCAGCACTTAGGAGAGGGCTTGGCATGAAGTAGACGTTCCAGGGAACTAAGATTGGCTGGACCCATGACTTGTTATGCAGCTTCCTCACATTCAATTCTTCCCTCCCTGTCTTCCTCCATAAACAAAGGATAGGGTCCATTCACGGACAGGGGACTGTCACTTACAAGGATTGTAGACTGTGGCTGAGCATGTAGCTCCAGTGGTAGAGTGCTTATCTAGTAACACAAAGCCCCGGGTTCCACCCCAGCACTCCATAATATGGGGGTGGTAACACATGCTTGTAGTTCTAGCACGGATACTGGGAAGGATTCAGAAGTTCAAGGCGCTCAGTTATGCAGTGAGTTTGAGGCTACTCCGGGATTCATTAGACCCCATCTTAAAACACAACAACAACAACAAAAAACAGGCAAAGAAAGATAGATGGACACTTCTGTCTTTTAACTAGGGAAGTATTCTGATAATGTAAAATATGTTTTACTATATGTCTTAGTTAGAGTTTTACTGCTGTGAAGAGACCCCATGACCATGGCAGCTCTTATGAAGGAAAGCAGTTAATTAGGGCTGGCTTACGGTTCGCAGGTCTAGTTGGTTATTGTCATGGCAGGAAGCATGGGAGAATGCGGGAGACACGGTACTTGAGAGGTAGCTGAGAGTTCTATCTCTGGATCCACAGGCAGCAGGAAGAGACAGTAAGCCCCTGGCCTTTGTTGGGGTTCTGAAACCTCAAAACCCACCTCCAGTGACACTTCCTCCAACAAGAGTACGCCTACTCTAACAGGCCAAACCTCCTAATAGTGCCACTCCCTATGTGCCTATGGGGGTCATTTTTGTTCCAACCACCATACTTTGTATGTTCAATTACAGTGAAACTATAGGACTAAAATTAATGGAAACCTGCCAGTGTAGTTTTTATTTTTATTTTTTAACTCTTTGCTCTTTGGAGTCTAACACCCAGCTCCTAAATAAATACACGGAGACTTATTCTTACTTATGAATACCTGGCCGGCTCTAGTTTGGTTTGTTTCTAGTCAGCTTTTCTTAACTTAAATTATCCTGCCTGTCTACCTTTTGTCTCAGGGCTTTTACTTTTCTATACCTTTCTTTCTTTCTTTCTTTCTTACTCCATGGCTGGCTGTGTTATTGGGTGGCTGGCCCCTGTTGTCTTCCTCTCCTTTTCCTGCTCCTCCCTCTTCTCTTTTTCTCCTTGTATGTATTCTCTCTTCCTGGAAGCTCCACCTATCCCTCTCCTGCCTAGCTATTGGCCATTCAGCTCTTTATTAGACCAATCAGGTATTTTAGGCAGGGAAAGTAACACAGCTTCATGGAGTTAAACAAATGCAGCATAAAAGAATGCAACACATCTTTGCATCACTAAACAGATATTCCACAGCATAAAAGAAGGCAGCACATCCAGCTTCCTCAGGTATGAGGTTGGCCCCACTCAGATGCTGCCCCCCCCCCATTGCCATTCAATGCAACAATGTCTGTATGCTTGTGAGGCCATGTACCAGGCCACGGTACCTGATCTGCCATTTGTCTTTCAGATGGATGGACAGAGGTGATGGCTGCAAATGAGGTCATGATCCTGGCTCTTTCTCAGTTGTGTCTTCCCTCTGATCTTTCTGTGCACACTCAGCACTAAGCAGAGAGAGGCCACAGCGGGTAACTCCTCCGCTTCTGTAATTTCAATCTGCTGCTCTGCACCTGGAGGGAATCAGGAAATGGAGGCATTTTCTTCTTCCTTCTCAGAAGGGGAGAATGATTTCTAACCCCACAATTCAGGATGGTGGGGCCCTGAATAACTTGTATAACAGTCCTCCCAACTCAGCCAGCCATCATTTGCATCTTGATGCAGAACCATCAGTGAAATACATTCCACTATAATGAGTTGTTGCTGCGCAGTTCATGGATCTGAAATGGAAGGATGCCCTCTGCTGGGTTTTGGCAGATTATGAAACATTGCTCTTAGGGAGGAAAATTTGGTTGCTGCTGCTGACTTCCTAACATCTGTGGTGCTTTAAACTGTCACAGGACGCCGTTTAAGTGAGTTTTAAATTAGGTGAGTGAGAATGATTGGGATGTGGGAATCATCTATACAGTACAACTTTCTTTAAAGAGGGATGAATAAAATAGCCAGAGAGAGAGAGAGAGAGAGAGAGAGAGAGAGAGAGAGAGAGAAAGGAGGAGGAGGAGGAGGAGGAGGAGGAGGAGGAGGAGGAGGAAGAGGAGGAGGAGGAGGAGGACGACAGGGCAGATGGAGAAGATTCAGACAGACTTCAGACAGAGAGATAGGGCAGGGAGAGCAGGGCAGTGTTTGGTAGCTTTCTTGCTGATTTACCATCATCACCAACACCTAGGTGGGTGACGCTGGCTGAATTCACTGTGTTCTTCCAAGAGAGGCCAGTGAGCTCAAGAATGGGAGAAGCAAGAATACTTTTCCTACAGTTCCTGACTCCACCAAAGCTAATAACTGAGGACTGAAAGACTTGATGAGAAAAAATTAGTTTAGTAAATAAAATTTTTACTGCCTAGGGATGCTTTCTGGCAGGGGGAATGAGGGTACATTCAGCTCAGACATGGTTTCAACAATTCTTCTGGTGTTTGCCATCAGATCATAGTTCCATAAAAAGATTATACTCTACAAACTTAGTCTTAAGTAACCTTAGACATTCCACTAAGGAATGGACTAGCAATCATGATTTTTCTGCACCAACCATCAAATCTACAATGGAAATCTAAAAAGTTCACATTGGAATGGCGCTGCAAACAAAAATGAGCACAAAGGGCATCATGGCAAACAGTCATCGATCTACAGAGACCTCTTTAAGAAGCTGATGCTGAGGTCTCACAGCCAATAATTCGCTATCTACTTAAAGTATCGCATTGCTTCGTTTAAGAATGAAGGCATTTACTGTTGAGCTCAGCTTTTCACCCTGGGAATAGAGACTCCAGGAACATTTCTAAACATTTCAAAGGATTACTCTTGAAGTGCAGCCAGAAAAACTATAAAGAAAGTATTCCGGTAGGAGCTTCACAGTTCATGTCTTTCGTTGTATTGACAAAGGAGGTAACAGGTCTTTAAAAGGATGTTATAAAAGAGACAGTGATTTCAGTGATTAAAGTTGCTTTAGAATGAACAGAGGATTTTTGTTAGGGGTTGGTGTAGACTGAGTGGACAGTGAATGTGGAGTGATGTGCAGGTATCCTGGGCGTTCACACTCTCCAGCTCTATCCACTGGCTGACTTTCCCAGAACAACTGCTGGTCCAGCAAGCTCCACTCATGGAAAGTATAAGTAGCACCAGAAAGAAAAAACTTAAAGATCATATATATATTTGGTCATTAGTAAAGACTAAAGACTTCAACTGAGAACAAAGCACCCAAATGTTTTTTCTTTAAAATTTTTAAAATTAAGACATACTTACATCACTTCCCTTCTTCCTTGTCTCCCTCTAACTTCCCATTTCCTCTTCCCTCCCTCTCAAACTGATGACCTCTTTATTGTTATCATATTTATATTATTTATTCCGACCTGAA